TAAAGAGAACCACAGAAATAAATTTAAACTGTAAAGCATTACATTTTGGTGAAAATAGTTATGCCTTAAAGAGAACCACAGAAATAAATTTAAACCCATACTGCTGATGTTTTTTTCTAGAAAGATTTGGGAGGACTGTAATTTTTTATACATTTTATATTGCCTGAAATTTTTTTAGTAAACATGTATTCAATTTGTAATCAGGGAAAATGAAAATTACAGGGGCTTTTAACTCTGTTCTGGAAATCTAAACAGAGGGCTTCTGAGACTTGCTATAGATAGTCTGCATATAATTGAGATATCTATAGTTAGTGTATTTTTCCATTACATTCTGGACAAAGATATTGACTTAGTATTTTCTTACAGATTCCGTAGTTTGGTAATTAAATTATTTATATGAAAGACTAACTTGTCAAATTGGTTTATTTTTGTGATAGGTATTTGATCAGTATGTAAAGACGAGGGCTGAGGAAGAACGCAGGGAAAAGAAAAACAAAATAATGCAAGCCAAGGAAGATTTCAAGAAAATGATGGAAGAAGCAAAATTTAATCCAAGGTATATGGTTCATTATTGTAACATTTCAAAATATTTATGTGCTTTCTCCTAAGATCAGCTAAGAGAATACGTATCTTTTGGATAATTGGATTATTTGATTATTGGTGGCTGCATTTCTGATCTTCATTCTTAATATATTTCCTTTAGAGGAATCTCTTGTGCCCTGTGAGAGGCATTGGTTTTCAAGAAGGGTACCTTTGTTTTAAGAGCTTCCCTGTGGGAATAAATTTCCTTCTCTAGAAACTGGTAAATGATTAAAAAAAAAAAATCTGTCTCCATCTTAAAGTTTTACACCTAATAACTTGCAGCACAGGGACATTATTTTGATGGAATTGGAGTGATGAAGGACCTCTCTGTCTAGATTATGTTTTTGTCTGACATTTTCAATTGATTGTTAATGGGTAGTGAGTACGTGTAATGGGCTGAAGAAGATGAGACTTTAAACTTACGTGACTAGCATCATAACAATAATGGCATCATTTCGTGGATATTTTAGGTGCACTTAAAGATATATGTACAAACTTACATGCATGATTAACGGATTCCTCTCATACCTGTTTTGCAGATAAGGAAAGTAAGAGTAAATTGGGTAACTTGTGCAAGTGCATGTGGGATTTCAATTAGATTCCGGTGCTAAGCACAGATTAGGCAAGGGAGAATTACTTTCTTATTTGTGGCTTAGTTTTAACAGTTGTGTTTTTAGGCTGCTGTGAACACCTCATAATATGGAGAATTTCCAAAACTATAGGGTAGAATCGCAGAGCATCTGGGTTAAATGGTAGTTTTTATAAAAATCCATCTTGTTTAAGCAGTTACTTTTGTCATTGGAGATAAGAGTGATGTTGTTTGAGAAAGTGTATCTGGTATTACGATTTTATGTTTGAAACATGAAGAGAAACCTATGGCATTAATACACATATCAGACAATAAAGCTAACAGAGTATTTGTGGCTCTGAAGAATGTAATATTTGTCAGGGGGTAATTGAGTTTCAGACTCTGAGGGGTCTTGGGCCTTTCTGTTGGTTAATCAGAAGGGTGAGTTCTTGGGTCAGATACTTGCAACTGGGATGCAGTTGAGTAAATTTGAACATGGTTTGTTATTACATATTAGAGAATTCATAGTCTTTTGGGGTATTGTGGTTGTGGAGGGGAAAAGGTTTACTCCGAGGGAGATACATGCCGAAATATTTATAGATGAAATCTCATGATGTCTGCATGTCTGCAGCTTGTTTTGAAGTGATTCGGCAAAATATATCTATTTATTAAAACCAGTATGAACCTGGCAGTAACTGAGACTCTGAAGAGATTTCCATTTTTTTTTAAAGATTTTATTCATTTATTTGAGAGAGAATGAGATAGAGAGAGCATGAGAGGGGGGAGGGTCAGCGGGAGAAGCAGACTCCCTGCCGAGCAGGGAGCCCGATACGGGACTCGATCCCGGGACTCCAGGATCATGACCTGAGCCGAAGGCAGTCGCTTAACCAACTGAGCCACCCAGGCGCCCGAGATTTCCATTTTGTGGATTTGACAAAGTCTTGCTGTGTCACAGTATCCTGTTGGTGTTCTTTTGGGGCTCATAGAATTGTTGGAGTGATCTGTACTTTGCAGGTTACTTCAGAAAATAAAGCCATGAGGTACATAACTAGAAGTCTTGGCACTGGGGACATTGTGCTGTATTGTTATATTAATACATTCAACACTAGCATAGAGATGAGGACCAATTTTAGTGAGTGGCAGAAAATGAGGAAAAACTTAAAATGGAGAAAATAGTGCCCATTAACTTAAGTCCACTTTGTAATGGAAAAAGACTACTATCAACAAAGCTTTTTAGTAGAATTTGTAGATAAAAAGCCCTGGAGTTTATTCTAAGGGAAAGAATGACTGGGGAGAATTATCTTAGTACCCATTCTCTGTCTCTTTTCTATTTTGATGGAAATCTTAAGGCATTCCTCCTAGGGTCAACTCCTGGTCACTCTAGTCTTACTGGTCTCCTACTACTACTGTCCACCCTCAGCTCTCCCTGAGAAAAAAGGGTAACATGTCTGTTACCAAGCAGTGCTTTTTGGAGTCATATAAAAAATCTATCTGAATCTAATGCTAAAACTTCATCTTGGTCTTTTCTGGTGAAAAATAATAATTATTTAATTCTCACTTTTATAAGTTGATTTTACATTTTAAAAAAAGGTTTATTCTTTAATCATAGTAGTAATTGCTCTTCTTTCTTAAAACTATAATGCAAGGTGCTTAATTTATCATGAAAAGAAACATTTGATGGGCTACATGTGATCCCTTTTCTGGGACATGCAATTTTTACTTCAAAATTTTATTAAAGTTACATTTCCATTATTCAGACCAGGTTTACAATATATCCTGTTGTTAAAAATGTTGAATTAATGAAATTAGGTATTCTAAGTAATAACAGTTGCATGTAAAAGATTTTTATAATCTGGGTTTGGTTGCCGGAGCGTAAAAATAGCAAATGTTAGCTGTGAGTGGTACTCCTAGTTTTCAGTTGATGTTTTAAATTCTAAATTCCGAAGTTAACCAATTTTTTCTTTATTAATGAAAGTTGTAGTAGAACCTTTAACACCTGAGAAGATGTGTTTTATGTGTGCGTTGAAATAGTTAAATAGTTCTTAAAAGGAGAAAGTAAGATTTATTTTTCCCCTCTAAAAACATGCTAAATGTGGGAGTATTTATTATAAGAGCAAATTATCATTATGTAAGGGGAAAGCTTCAAATATTGAGGTATATTCAAACGTATGAAGGCTATATAAATGCCTTTTATTTGTGAAGAAAAATTTTTTTTATGCTGAGCCTCATTAGCCCTCATAGGCCTCATCTTTTTATATAGCCTGCTTGGCAGCTTGCTGTGCTTTTTGCATATCTGTACATTGATGTTTTCATCAAATCTGGAAAATTTTTGGTCAGCATTTTTTCCGCTCTGATTCATTCTTTTCTCTTTTAGAATTCTAATTACACCTATTTTAAAGTGTTTGGTATTATCTCACATGTCTCTGAGACTATTCTCCTCCTCCCCCTAATTTTTTTTCTGTGTACTCTTTTGATTAGATAACTGTTACGGATCTAACTTGGAGTCACTGGCTCTTTATTCTATGTCTCCTCCTTTTTTAAGCCCATCCAGTGAATTTTTCCTTTCAGTTAGCTTTAGGTTCTTTTTTTCTATTTTCTGTATCTCTGCTGAAACTCCCTTTTTTTGTTCATTCATTAAGACCTTGTTTTTAGTTCTTTGAATCTATTTTTCTTTAATCCTTTCGGTATAATTATAATAATTTTAAAGGATTTGTCTCTGCCTAGAGCAACATCTGGACATTTTGGGTTTAGTTTCTGTTGATTTAAAATTTTTTTGGTATGGATTATGCATTCTTGGTGTGTTTAGTGTTTTCTGATTGAATATTGGAAATTCTGGATTTTTGTTTTCACAGGCAGTTCACTTTATTACAGGCTGATTATGTTAATTTAGTTTTGATTTAAGGCTTTGTTAGTGTGGATCTCAGAAGGTGGAAGGTGCTTTTCAGCGGTCCAGCTTTGTCTCCCTTGTTCATCTTTTGTGGACTTTATTGTCCTAATGCTGTTCTTTTTCTGTACTATCAACTTCTAAGATCTGTTTTTTGCTCTTAACCATGTAGCACTTTGGTGGGGGCGTGCTGTTGCAGTCCAGCCTTGGCCATACACTCACGAGGAATTGCTTTTTGGTGTACTTATGGGGTACTTTCTTCCTATAGCTTTTTCCTCTGCCATTTTAGCACCCAAACTCTGATCTTCACTGCTTCTGACTTTTGAGGCCACTGTACTCTGCTTGGAGTACAATTTCTTTGGAAATTGTCCTGACACAGAGGGCAGTGGGGCTTTCCTCAGTCTTAGTACTCTCCCTTTTGTCTACTGTTTTGAAATCAGTTGCTTCATGTATTTTGTCCTGTTTCATAGTTGCTCCTGGAAGGAGAGCTAATTCAATAAAGTTACTCCTCCACGGCTGGAAGCAAGACTGAGCCTTTTCTTAGTGTGAAAATAGATGAGCTCTCAAGTCTCTTGGAGCACATACATTTTTTGCTCTCTGATGTGTTATCCCACAGTATGCTGATAGTATACAAATCGCTAACCACATTTTCACCCTTTAGCCCTTTTTTACTCTTTTCTGTAGCTCATTGTTTACTGTTTGGGCAGATGTTGGGGCTCAATGGCTCTTTGGCACATACTCTTGCTGGAAAAATGGTATCTTCTGCTATACCTTTCTACAAGCAGAAATAGCTCTACCAAAGTTAGCACACTTGCCATTTTGTTACAGAGCTACTTTTAGTGAATTTGCAGCCAAGCATGCTAAAGATTCAAGATTCAAAGCAATTGAAAAGATGAAAGATCGAGAAGCCTTGTTTAATGAATTTGTGGCAGCTGCAAGGAAGAAAGAGAAAGAAGATTCGAAGACCAGAGGTGAGAAGGTAAGATGGTTTTAGTTCCGGTGGTGTGATTGATGGGAGTGTGAATAGGAAGGGACTAATGTGGGGCTGTGTTGCTAATCTTGTTCATGGGCATAAATTACAGGACTCACATTTACTGTTTAGCTTTATAAGTTAACTTTTATATTCGTTTATATGTGTGAATTGTCCCTTTATTTCCCAGATGTTTATTTTATTTTTCATTTTTAAAAAATTTATTTATTTATTTGAGAGAGAAAGAGAGCGTGCACAAGTAAGGGGAGGGGAAGAGGGAGAGGGAGAAGTCATGACCTGAGCTGAAGGCAGACACTTAACCAACTGAGCCACCCAGGTGCCCCATGATGTTTATTTTAATAACTTCACTAAACTACCTAGATTTGCTAATTTATATTTTATTTTACATTTACAATTTATTAATACTGAGATGCCCAGTAAACCCAGAACTGACTTACTAGGTCTGTTTATTCACTGGTGCCTGCTAAGATTTCAAGATTCTTAATAAGCAGTAACCTTTAAATTTCAAAAAGGTTTTTTATCTTTTTTGCCTTCTAAAAGATAGCATTTTAGTGACTTTCTAATCTTTTAGTAAACATATCTTACATATAAATTATTGCTTATCAGAAATAAAGGTCAGCTATTAAAGATTAATGAATTCCAAATGTCATTTGATAGCACTGTCAGGAATGGAGGGGAGCCCCCCACTGGAGAAGCAGACTGGTGGAGTGAACCATCAGAACATGCAGCCACTCTTAGTGTCCCTGTGTGCTTTGTGAATGGAGAAAAAACCTCTGAAGCCTAATCATTTTTGACATTTAAAATGGCCCATTATTCCAGAAAGTTAAAACATCACAACTTCTTTTAAGAAATGTTATTAGGGAAATAATACCACTCTTACTGAGAAGAAGCCTTTTTCACTGTAAATAGTAATAGTATTGGGTGAAATGACTTTTGTCAGAAATACCTGAAACTTCCTGATTATATGCTACATTGGGCTTCTGTGTAGATCCTTCCAGAATTTTTCAGTGTCAACTTTTTTCTTTTTCAAATGATTATGCTTCTCAGGAAATGTGCAAAATTGAGTGTTCAATTAGAGTCATGTTAGTGAATTGTTTGCTCCTTTTGACTTTTAGTAATAACCTATTTGATTAAAGAAAACCAAGTAAATAAATGAATGCTACTGTGTGATTGCTTTTATACAAATTGGATGTTTTTGTCTTTGCATTTGTAACTAATGTTCTTTTTCTAAACACTTTTTTTGTCACTATTTTTGTGTATTCTGTTTTATAACAAGTGGATAGACTTTACAGTTTTGTGCTGTGCTGCCTTTCAATCAGTTCAGTCTGACAGCTGTCAATCACTGATACGCAAAGTATTATGGGATTCCCTAGTGAGGAAAGAATTGGTATCTCTCTGTGGTGACTTTAGCCTCCCACAGTTCCGGTACTTTACATTTTTTTAGTCTTTTTCCTTATGAAGTGATGAGAGTTGTGCCCACAATGTGTTAATTGAAATAAGTTAAATAGACATTACATCTAAATAAACCTAATATATTCAGCTTTATTTTCTTTTGATTATAAAATTCTCTAAATTACAGGTTTGGTTTTGTATCATTACTTAATTTTTTAAAAAGAGGCCGGAAATTACTAAAGTGAAACTTTCTCAGCCAGTTTAAAGAATGCAAAATTACTAACTAGGCCATGGAACAAAAATCTTTAAAGTAAGGGTTTAAATATAGTATATTTTATATTCACATTCGGAGAAGTAGCTGGTTAATGAAGTTTTACCACTTTCTTCATGACTTTTACTGTACAGTAAATACTTATTTTTATGAAGTATATTGTCTATACCGTTTTTTAAAAATCACATTTTAACTAATTGAATGGTAGGATTAGTACTAGTAGCATGGTGCTGGTATACTGGAGTTTCTTTCTTTGTTCTTGTGATTCTCTAGCTGCTGTTTGTAGCATTGGGGTAATGCAATTAATAGCTGAATAGTAAAGGTTTAAAGGTAATTACTTGCTGAGTCAGAAACCTATGAAGGACACTGATTTTTGGTGAAGTTGCTTTTTTCCTTTAGTAGACATTTTTAAGCTAAAGGGTAAAATCATTTTCATGGAGGTTTTACTGGTTATTTTCAGTTTTATAAAAAAATGTCCCTAAAACTCTGCTTATTTTACTGGGCTGTTTTGCTTGCCAAAATAGCTACCCTCAAATTTTTGTTTATTTTATTACAATTTTTTGTTATAACCAATTTTTATAAAATTCTGGTTCAAGTAACATACCTTTTGGAACAACACATTTGAAGTTGCATATAATAGAGTTAATCCTCTCATAAAGTTGGCATTTTTCTCTCTACCCTCCCTTAAATTTCATTTTGAACAAATTAAATATTTTTGTTACAGTACATTATTAGTCTAGGGAGACTATTTTTCCCTATTAAACTGAACAGCCTAGATGGTAAGGTACTTCCATTTGGAGACAGAAGAAAATAGGGGATACAGGGCCTTGAATTGCTGCTAGTGGTAACTTACATTTTTTTTTTTTTTGACATTTACTCAGTTGTTAAATAATTCCCATACAAATAGCAGCTTTGGTAAGCCATGTAATAGCCTGTCATGGTAGTATCCATAGTGAAAGGAAGTTTAACTTCATTTAAAGTTCACTTTGTTTATACATCACACATTTTTTAAAACCTGTATGATAATCCTTTATAGGTTTCGTGTCTAATATGTGAAAATTGTCTTCAATCAATATAAATTCCTGTGGCTTGGAAAGATTCCTATTTGATACAGCTTGCATGCTTTATTTAATACAAATTTTGTCAATTTTGCTTTGTAGTTATATGCATCTAGGAATTGGGTGTTCATCATGTCAGATACAAAGTAGACAAGATGAACAGAAAAATTGTTAAATCACTATATCAAGTAGTTTCTTTTTCACTGTCTAGAAATACTGGGTTTATGAGTATTTCTTACTATTCCAAACAAAGGCAAGAGCTAAGTTCAGTAGTAAAGAAATCCACAGTTGGTTAGCTCTTGTCTTTTTTTAAAAAAAAATCTCTAATAGGGAAACTCTTTTTTACAACCTTACCATGTTTTCCAGAAAGGACATCATCCTCCCTTTTAATCCTCTCATAGGGGAAATGAGGGTTGGAATAAGCAGAAGGAATGATTCCATTCCTAATTTCTCCTTCCCTTGGTCAGGTGGGAAGCCAGCATGTTTAACCCCTATGGGGAGGAGAGGTTCTTGACATGGCCAGAATCCTCTTGAATTGACTGCTACCTCAGGTATCTCCTCTGGTAGGAGTACAAGATAATTTAAATGAGACTGAATTTTAAAACAGGTCCTCAAAGGTGCATAAAAATAAATGCCTTCTTTATCCCTTTCTTCCCTATTTAAAAAATGAGAATTACAGTTTGGGAGAAGGATTCTAAGTATTGTATATGTTGGCACTAAAGGATTAATACCATTTCATACCCTTGGTATAATGTTACTAACTTGGTACTTGATTGGTTAAGAATGTTAAATTCATTAACACTTTTATTTTGAGTTGTATAATGGTAAAGGCATACATATTTAATGGCTAAATACAAAAAATCTAAATACAGTTTATGTAATGCTTGATTATGACCATAGAAATTCTGTAATTTATATGTAAGGGTGCAAACATTGCTTTTTTTAAACTAAAATACAAAAATTTACCGTTTTTTACCTGTTTTTAGACATTTGACAGTATAGTTTCAAGTTTCGAATGAATGAGACTTACTTGTGCTCAGCTCTAAATTCCCCTTTTTTAACAAACAAAAAATGTTACTCATGTACTTTTTAAAATAAGTCATTCTTAGTGTCTTGATGTTAAAGTATAGTTTACTGTCAGTTCATAAGCCTGAATCTTACCTAAAAATAAATGTGAGTTCTTATTTCTTATTAAAAAATGGCAGTTCTGAAATGCAAAAGTTAAAAACAACCTAAGATTTTTTTCTGCATTTGAATAATTTCACTGGAGAAAATGATTTATCTTGAACTTGGCAGATTTTAAATGAGAGCTTATATGTGTGTTGTCCTTTATATTTTTCCTAAAAGAGCGATTCTAAAAATTATTCCACTCTAAATAAATGCATTTAAAAGTTATTACTATTCCCATCTTTAAGGTAAGTGAATAGTTTTTTCTGGTTACAAACGTTTGCATAGGAGGAATTTCTCATGGCACATTTCCCCCCCATCCCACTCCATGTTTTGAAATACAGATTAAATCGGATTTCTTTGAATTGTTATCAAATCATCACTTGGACAGTCAGTCTCGATGGAGCAAAGTGAAAGACAAAGTAGAAAGTGATCCACGTTACAAAGCAGTAGACAGTTCATCAATGAGAGAAGACCTTTTCAAACAGTATATTGAAAAAATAGCCAAGGTAACCATCGTGTTTACTTGTACTGAAAGCATGGAATAATAAAATTCTTAATTGCTGTATTATAAAGGTATTCACTCCTGTTTGGGGTTTGGAATTTTTCTTGTTGGTATTCTTAATATAAGATCTCTAGTAGTTGGTATGGAAACGAGGTATAGTGTTTAGGAATTTTCTTGGTAAAAACCAGGTTTGAAATTTTCTATTTGGCATACTAGTTATTCTGTGGAAACCTGTTTTGATCCTGTAATTTTACTTTTACAGAATTTAGACTCAGAAAAAGAAAAGGAGCTTGAAAGGCAAGCCCGCATTGAGGCAAGCCTTCGAGAACGAGAAAGAGAGGTACAGAAGGCTCGTTCAGAACAAACAAAAGAAATAGATCGAGAGAGAGAGCAACACAAACGAGAAGAAGCTATCCAGAATTTCAAGGCTCTTTTGTCTGACATGGTATATATTACTCTTGCTTTCCCCCTCACCCCTTTATAGTACTGGACATGAGAGATCTGTTATACTACCTCGTTAGTGAAAATTTTCATATTTAAATTGACTCAGATATAATTTGCTAATTTGTTTTATAAGGTGTTTTAAAATGGAGTTCTTGGCATTAGCACCATTAGAATAGGAAAACCCTAGTTATTTAACATTTTCAGAGGTTAGATGTTCTGTATATATAAAAATTTGTAATCTTTTAGTCTCAAAGATAATTTCTTTATTCTTGATGGAAGTCATCTTAAATTATCACACACTGACATGCCATAGTAATAAACAAAATGTGCTGAACGTAATTAAACCTTTTTCTTGATGATTTCGGGTCATCACTGTGATGATGAATTATTGTACATGTAGATGGTGTGAGATCTAGGACTGGAGGTGTACTGACCTCAGGAGATACCCTGGAATTTTCTTGACAAACCTTTCTGCATCACCCAGGGTTGTTGAGGTGTGTAGGGTTTTCTCTGTACAGTGAGTGCCCAAGGCTGCTCTGCTGTTCTACTTTTTTCGTCCCTTCTCCCTGTCACCGTCTCTCCTGCTGTTTCTCTTCTCTTCTTTTGTAAGGGCCCTTTTCATTACTACTGTCACGTCTTCTGATTTCTTCCCTTTCTTCTGATGATCTGTTTTCATTTTCCTCTTTTTGTTCTCTGGACAGTTACAGTCGTTCCCTGATTGTTCTCCTTGCTTTTACTTCCCCCGAGTTCATCCTCTTTATCGCAGTCATAGAAGTCATCATAAAAACCAAATGATTTTGTCACTTTCCCTGTGGCTTGCAGAGAGAAGGTTCTCTGTGCTTCTAGTGGTCACCTACGTTTAAAACTCTGTCTTAGCATAATATATAAGGCTATTCATTTCTTGACTCCCCCACCTTCATATTATGTTACCCTCTTTGGTTCCTCTCTTGCCCCCTATGCTCCAGCCTTTCTGAACTTACCTCTAATGAACCACACTTACATTAATGAATTCTGTCATTGCTCAGGCCAATCCCTCCAGCTAGGATGCTTCCCGCTGCAGTTAGAAACTCATTGTTCAAGATCACACTCAGATCTCTTTTGTGAGGTTGATCTTGACCCATCTAAGGCGGATTTGTTTTTCATGTTCCCCTTGGCCACCCTGTGGTCAGCATACACCTCTGCAGCCCTTACTACATGCAGTTGCAATTACTTGCTTATACACCTCTTAATTTTTTCCAGTATCAAGCTCCGTGTTCAGCTGACACATTGATCGATGCTTGATAAATGTTGGTTAAATAAATGTTTTTGTATTTTTCTTTTTTCTTACCTGTCTTATCAGCCTTCCATATTTCTTTAGCATTGGCAGCAGTGTGACTAGCAATAACTGGTGATGCCATTGAAGCCATGAAGCGTACCTTTCTGCTGGTTGTTGAGCCAGCCTGATCCGCCATGTCTTCTCTCGTTAGCCATGTTAATTTCTTGCTTATACTCGGAAGTGTCACTTCCCATATGTAGTTGATAAGTACACATTGGAGCTCAAGATTTGTTGAGTGTTTTTTTTTTTCCCTGTGACCTCTTTAGTACACAGTAAGATATTTCCTGTTCTATTTGGAATAGAATAGGAATTTCAGTTGGTAAGATGTTAAATAGAAGTTCTTCTCTTCATCCTTCTCCACCTCTAAATCCATACTTGACAGCTTAGGGAAGCTCTGAGTGGTGGGCTTTCTGGCTTTAAAAAAGATTTTCAGTGACTGCTTAAGGTGGAATCACTAGAAGCTGCTTTTATTATTAAATGTATCATTCCTAAATTAAGTAAATAAGCCTTTTATTGTTGAAATATGAGAAGATAAGTCTCTGGTGATACAATTTTTTGGTACGTTTTTAGGTACGTTCTTCAGATGTGTCATGGTCTGATACTCGGAGGACTCTGCGGAAAGATCACCGTTGGGAATCTGGATCCTTGTTGGAAAGAGAGGAGAAAGAGAAGCTTTTTAATGAACACATTGAAGCACTTACCAAAAAGAAGAGGGAGCACTTTAGGCAACTTCTGGATGAAACTTCTGCAGTAAGTCCCTTATTTTCCCTGTTTTAATCTAGATGGGCCTTCATGAATAATTCCAAAAGTAAAACATTGATGTGATTATTAGCGTCATGGTCTTTAGATCCGTTACTAGAATTCATGAGTTTTATGACACTTTCTTCTTTGATTTTATTTTTCCTTTTTAAAGTAAAATGTTCGTGGCATTCTTACTATGTAGAGATTACTTCCTTCTGCAGTTTCAACATTTGTATCTGCTTCTGTGGTAGTTCGTAATGTCCCAAGCTGTGTAATCATTGATCCCTCCTGATGAGATATTTAATAGATTCCATCTTTCGCTCCATTTTCAGTTTGGCACCATGGCTCCCTCCTTTGGCAGTTTGTACCCTCTGTTGTTCAGGTTTTCTCCTGATTATGTAATCTCTTTTTGGTGATGGTTTCTTTAGAAGTTATGGTGTTACCTATGGAGACACAGGGTTTGCAGGTGATAGTCTCAGGCCACATTGAAATGTGGCCATGAAAATAACTCTTGTGGCAAGCCAAAAAGAAATTGCATTAAAGCTGCTTCCCTGTCCAGTTAACTTTTGGGCATTACAAGAGATGGCAGGTCAGTGTGTGATACCACATACCATATGTGCTGCCGTTTGACCCTCTCAATAAAAGTGAGTTGTATTTATGTTTTTTATTCACTTGCCTTTCAAAGATTACCTTAACATCCACATGGAAAGAAGTAAAAAAAATCATTAAAGAAGATCCTCGGTGCATTAAGTTCTCCTCCAGTGACAGGGTAAGAGGATTTTGTCTGAGATTTACTACTGTCAGTTTATAAATATTAATTGGGTGTTCAATCAGTACGTCTAGGATCTTGACCAAAATGAAATTGATGGTTTTAAGTGAATAACTTTTAAGTGTATGAGAAATAAATCTGAAGTTTAAATTCATATTTTCTGTCTTGCACGATACATAAACAAGAAAGCACAGGAGAAACTTAAAAATTTAATCCTTGGGGTCAGGCCTGTGTTTGGGGATGTTAGAGCTTTAATGAAGCTGTAGTTTTTATTCATTGTATAGTCAGGTCCCACTAGGTAGATAACATTAATGCTGTCAGAGCCCCTGAGCCATGCTAGCAGAAGGCCGCAACACCGCCTCTTGTTCCCGTATGCTCCAGAAACTGGAGTAGAGGAACGTCAGACGAGTGAAGTTTTAGAAGCCGAGCTTCGTTCTGGTGCACTCTGCCTCCTGTGTGGGAAGCGAATTCAGCTGGCTTCTGAAATAGTGAATGAGGCCAAGGGAAACGTAGCTGACTGCTGTCTTATTTTAGCCCTTTGCCTTTCATTTGTTCCTGTCCCCATCATTCTCTTTGCCTGGTTGGTTTCTCCGAGTCTAGAGTGCAACAGCCTCATAGATTTACTTTAGTAAGTTGGGTTATAGATGTGCAGACCACAAAGTACATACGGCTGGGAAAGAGTGGTAAACTGGGAAAGATAGCTGACAGGTCCAGTCTCAGTTTCTTTTTTTTTTTTTTAAAGATTTTATTTATTTATTTGAGA